CTGGAGAAGGATATCATGTTTGGTAAGATGGAGGGTCAGAGAAAAAGAGGAAGACCCCCAATGAGATGGATTGGCCAAGTGGCAGCATCAATGGGACTCAAGCGTGGCAACAGTGGTGAGGTTGGCCCAGGATCGGGCAGTGTTTCATTCTGCTGTTCATAAGTTTGCTACGGGTTGGTGCCGACTTGATGGCACCTAACAACAACAACAACAACAACAACATACTTAACATGTCAAGTCATCGTTATTACTATCCTATTTACTAAAACCCAACTGTTGGCATAAATAAAAGTAAAATTTACCTGTGTCATGTTAGTTGACAGGAAAAACAACTGCTGAATATCACTTACTTCCCAGTGGCTTTTTATGAAATTAGGAGTGAGAGGGTTGAATAAAGCTAAAGAGATGCTTGTCTCAGAATATTCTTGGCAATGAATAAATATGTTTCATATATAATGTTCAAATTAAGATCAAAGCATACAACCACTGTCCACTAGGAACTTTCTACTAGACACTGCATTTCCCAATTGTGTTTCATACTATACTCACTCTTCAGAAGGAAGTATGGTAGGGGAAAAGGGATCATGGATAAATTAGTTTGGGAAAGGTGCATATATAACATCCTCTCTATAGGAAGTCACAATGCCTGATAACACATTAAAGATTCTGAGGAGTTCTAAGGTAAAAAAAACCTGGTACACATTATTTACCACTGAACTTCAAACCACAGGGTCTCAGCAGTTGCAAGTCCACCAGCTGCTCTGCTGGAGAAAGATGAGGTTTCTTGCTCCTGCAAAGATTCACAGCTTCAGAAACCCTATACAGGGTCACTGTGAGTTGGAACTACTTAACAGCAAAACTTATTTTAACAAAATCCACCCCTTCTTTTTTGCACTTACAGGTGCTCCCTAGGCTTGACTATGTTGCTGTTGTCGTGTGCCATCGAGTTAGTTCCGACTCATAGTAACCTATGTAGGATTTCTGAGAGCAGCTGGTGGGTTTGAACTGCCAACTTTGAGGTTACCTGCCCATTGTTTTATGCTACAGCACTACACCAGGGCTTAGAGTGGACTGTTGTTGTTGTTGTTAAGTGCCGTCAAGTTGATTCCGACCCATAGCGACCCTGTATAGGGTTTCCAAGGAGTGAATGGTGAGCTTGAAATGCTGACCTTGAGATTCAATCAACTTTGCAGTAACCCACAGCGCCACACCCAGACTCCTGGACTATAGAAACGTAAAATTACAATTCCTTAAGATTGTATATCATGTTTTTGTTGGACTGGGTAGAATACTTGGATGACAAACTGTAATCGATCTGAGTACAAAGATTCATGTTTGATTTTCTACCGGAGAGATCCAAGAAACAGAAGACATTAGAAACAGCCCAAAATGAAAATGGAGAATCCTAACAGTTTTACCTTTGCTTTGGAAACGGCTATGGGAATAAAGATTTTAATAAAAGCATCAGCCCTGGTAAGTGGCAGATGACCTCATGAACTACATACTCTACTGCTGATTTCTGTCAAATATTAACAGGAGAAAAAAGGAGTCAAAAGACTTCAGTATGAGAATGAATATGCTGAACTTATTACAGTTACTTCAAGAACAAAAGATAGCTAACAGGACAACAGGTTTGCAGGATCAAAATATATATATTAGCTTCCCTCTCTTAATTTGTGAGCGCCTTTAGTTCAAGATTCTCCTGCAACAATATCCAACACACATGAAATCTATAATCACCTTTGAAACATCTCTAGACAAGAACTTACTCCAGATAATAAAGGACCTGAAGCAACGCTACGGCTCTGAAGCCAAAACAAATACAAAAAGGTGGCTTTTGCCCTCCCATGAACCCAGGTCAGAACCCCCTCATCTCCTACTGCCTCCAGAGTAAGTAAAAACACCATTTACAAGGCATTTATCTTCTGGCAAGCAACATTATGTCAGACCTGTTTGGTCAGTGATCTGTACAAACAGGATGGAGAATGGCAAATGACTCAGGGCACAAGAAATTGGAAGTTTTAAAATGTGCAGAAATATTCTTTCTTTTTAGACAATGTGACTTGGATGTTCCCACACTCAAAAGATTTGCCTGAGGACTCAATCTGAGCCAAAATCCAATTAAGTGCTATAAAAATCAAACAAACGGGTTGTGTTCAAAGAGCTAAGCCCATTTTGACAGTCTGAAAAACCTGGGGGTGAATAAAGGTAGAATCCTTACCTAATGAGACAACATTTCCATAGTTCTCCTGCATAACATCCCTGTAAAGGTCCCTTTGTGTAGGGTCCAGAGGTCTCCATTCTTCCCGAGTGAGGTACATGGCCATGTCTTCAAATGTCACAGGTGCCTGAAATTACACAAACGTTTCCTCATTACTTGGTAGCCAGGGGTTAGTCCCAGTTTTTCTTCTTGAAATTGGAGACCTGGCTAAAAATGTTGAAGAGTCGAGCAATAAGGTATTACAGAGTCCAAAAAATAAATACGCCAAAAGGTGACAAGGTAAAAAAAAAGGAAGCACTTTATGAGCTGACTGCTGAGATCTCACGGCCAGACATCCCGGATACCTTATCCTGCAGCCGTACCTTTCTCAGCACACTTATGGCACACCATACATGTACTACCAATGTTCCTTTTCCTGGAATAGCTTTCTCAGATTAGTGAATGTTACTAGTCTTCATGGCCTTATGCCAATGCCAACTGTTCTTAACGCCCGCTTTCCCCCACCCCACCCCATCCCACACACTCCACCCCACTCCTTCCTCAGCGCCCCCCGCCCCTTGGTTTCCACACCATAGCGCTTCCTACGGCGGCAAGTGGAGCACTTCTCACGTTGGTTCACTCACGTGAAGTGAATGCAAGTGTCTCCCTACAGTTGTGGGCAGGAGCGGGAGACCCGTCTCATCCACCTTTTGTCTCCTCAATCTTTAAAAGCATACAGCAGGTACTCAATAAATGCCTGTGTGTGGTTATACTAGCCTGATACTAGTCCCTGCGGGCAGAAAACCAACGCCGCAGAATGACTGATCCCAGGGAATTTCCCACAGGGGTTTGCAGAGCAGAGTAACGCCGGGACGCGGTGGGTAAGCAGAGGCAGGGTCGGAGAAGCCACCCCCGGCTTACCTGGGACCCAGCCATGAGTAGGGTGGCTGCCATCTCAGGCACAAGGGTTCACCTCCCGGGAGAGAGAGCAGGAAAAGCAACGAGCAGACAGCGCTGAAGAAGGCGAAAAGCAGGGTGTGAGGCACGGAAAACAGGCCCTGCCCACTCCCCAGGGCTGGAGTTCTGGCAGTCGGGCGAGCTGGGCGGGAGGGCCTTGCACTGGGGTCGGGTCAGTTTCCTCCCTGACCCTCGAATAAAACCCGCCCTTGCGTCTCCTCCACCACAGGGTGGAGGTACTGGTGGAATCCAAGAAGACAGCCCCCTAGCTCGGTCCCTCCTGAGCCCGGGGTCAGGCAGATGCTGTCTCAGGGAGGAGGCTCTCAGCCCAACCCACAGGACACCTCCGCTCTTCCATCTCGAGGCTGAGCCCTTTCCGGCAGCTGGATCGGCCAATCAAGGAGTGAAGCTCTCAGAACGCTCTGCCAATTAGGTGCTGGACACTAGGCCCACCCCCTGTCGCGTGGCCGAACACAACTATCACGCCTGCGCCAGTTCCCGTGGCCTGCCGGGAGTTGGAGTTCCATTCCAGCGTACAAAGACCAGTCAGAGGCCAAAAGCTGAGAAGGGAAACGAACAAAAGGATGAAGAAAAACGCGTCCTTTCAAGCCAGGGCGAAGTATCCTTCGCTTTCTTCTCTTGGAGACTCCCTAGTCCGATGAAACCGAAGAAGTTGCCCTTCCTCTTTTCAGGTCCCTAGAAGCTTCTTTGGAGTCAGACTGTTAACTGCTAGGTCGAATCCAGTTTAGGCCCCTACCGGAGTTGAGCTCTGCTGGGACTGGCTTTCATTTGACAATCCAGGTGTGAGAGGAAAGCTGCAGTCGCGTACTCCCGAGGGGGGGAGGGGACGCGAATCGACAGCCGCGCTGGAACTTTGAGCCCCGCCCACGTACTACATCTCCCAGCAGTGCTTGTGGCACTCACACCCTTCTACATAGACTACAACTCCCAGCAGGCTCTGCGCCAAGTGTCCAGCTCTCGTGGACAACCGGCTTCTAGGCCTGACGGTGTTCGGGCCCCATCACTATTAACCCTGTCGGAGCGGCTAACAGCGTCCTTCAGAGGAGGAGGGCGCCCCTGACGGACGCCCAGAGTCCTGCCTAGCTGAGAGGAATCAGAAGCTGGAGTGGGGTAGGGTGGGGTATGGAGATATGCAAAGAGGAGAGAGTCGGACCCCAGGGCAGAGAAGGTCCATCCTTATCCCTTAGAGTTTATCTGCTAAAATGGTTTCCTGGAGGCCTCCAGCACCGAAGGACCTCCGAGGGCCTGAGGCCGGCGGGAACTCAGGATGCTCCAGTCCCTGTCAGGCTGAAAGTAGGAAGCCGAAAACCCGCGTTGGAACGAACAGACTTACCTCCTTGGCCAACAGAAAATTTAGTAGATCTTCGACTTCAAGATCCAAGAGACCTCACATAGATCCCAGAGCTACAGAGTTCTATGAGACCTCAGGTGTTTGGAGAGAGACTAGAGATCACTGGCTGATCACGGAGATAGCAGGTAGATCACGAATCCTTCGATGTGCAGGCAAAGCCCAGGGATTGTTAGCTAATTTTAAAGACTCGCAGATTCCCGAGACCTCAGACTCTCAGCGCAGATCATCCAACCACAGGTTCATACGCAGATCCCTGAGACCACAGCAGCTGGCCAAGAAACACCACCGACAGCTAAAGTTCTTCTGAAGGGAAGGACTTGCCGTCTTCCCTTTTCCCAGACAAGATGAGGGAATTAGACAATGGAAGCCGAGCACGAGAAAAAGCAGACATTCTGCGTGGGGAAGAGCTCTGAGCTCTCAGTAGCCTTGGAGAGGGAAGTGATGGAAAAAGAATATAGCAGCTTATTAGGGACTCCCACCCTCTTCAAGTTATAAATATCCCCAGAACCTTGGCTACGTGCCCGGAAGCCTGTTGTCTCAAACTGTACAGGAGGCTTCTCTGCCTGGGCTGGGAAAGGGGCTTTTCTTTTGTTTTGCAGATACATCCACCCACAGAGTGACTTGAATAATTTTTTTAAAAAACATGACTCTAGGCCATGCTTTTATTAGTGAGTGTCCTGTTCCCAGTGCCTGGTTATTTGTGGTTAAATTACTCAAGTGTCTAAAAAGAGCTAGGGCCCTATCTAGCCATGAGAGAGACTCCCCATTCCTACACCTCTTCTACATTTCTTTCCGCAATCAAAGGTCTAGAAATTCTTTAGAAGCGGTGAAATTGTACTAAAATTGATCTGGGCACCAAAAAAAAAAAAAAAAAAAAGGAATATAAAAAGGGTCCCCAAGAGTCAGTTTCCCTGTGGGCCTCAAGGTCAGAGAGACCTGGGTTAACATCCAGGTTGTGTATCCTCTGGACAGTCGTTTAATCTTGCCAAGGCCCATTTCCTTTTCTGTCAAATGGGGATAATTACAGTCACAGTGGTGGTGAGGACAGAGATGACTTTAAAGCACTGATGATAGCTGTTATGAATCCTGCCTCTCGTGGCAGGGGAGACTTCCAGAGAGCCCTGTTGGATATCATCACTGGCTCAGAAAATTTGGGAAGTGACCTTATCCTCACATCATGTTTCTACTGGAAATCCAATTTCATGTGGAGAACCAGTAGAGCAGAGGTTCTTGGGGCCTTGAGCTCAGAAAAGCCTCCAGGTCAGGGGTTAATAACCCTCCTATGAGGGAGAGGGAGGAGGATTGGTTCAGACTTTGGTTTCCTAATTGCAGGTCTCTAACTTGACCTAAGGCTGAGGTGAGGGCTTGAGCCCCTCAGCCCAGTGGGGCTCCCTTTTCATCCTCCTCTTGACAGATTGCTTTGTAAACTTCCTTAGGCCTTTTCTGCCCCCTGCTCTAGTGCTTTAAGCCCTTCTTTGTCCTCTTGGCTGTTTCTTTAATTCCTCAAGCCTGCCTGGGGGCAGAATGACTCTCTAAGCCCAGTTTGGCTGCTTGCCACCCTCTGTGAGTAAGTGCTTTTCTCTTTCTTCACCTGGGACCCTCCAGAGGGTGGAGATGAGAGACTGAGAGTGGATGGAAAGCATGACTGCATTTGGAACCCCTAGGGGGGAGTGTGGAAGAAGGGGAGGAAAGACAGTGGCTGAGGGGCTTCCTGTTGTAGCCTTCAGTGGACTTTGAGGGTTGAGGTCACTGGAGGAGGAGGTAGCTTCCTGCTCCATTGTTCAGGATTTCAGTGTTTTGCGGGAATAATGTACTGTTTGTAGGCTTTAAGTGCCAGCTTGTGAGGCTATACTTACTCCCATTATTCAGCAAGCAATGAGCACCTACTGTGTGCAGGAGCAGCAACAGAGAGCCTAGCACTGGGGAAAGGGCCAAGAGAGCCATGTGGTCTCCAGTTTAGGCTTTTGACATTTTGTCAGACCCACTGACCCATATGATTAAAAACCTTCTTTATATATCCTTACCAGACTATAGCTTGTGGGGCACTACACAAGATAGTTTATGTTGTTAAGTGCCTTCGAGTTAGTTCCGATCCATAGCAACCCTGTATCCAAAGGAGCTCTGGTAGTGTAGTGGTTACGATTCAGGCTGCGAATCTCACAGTCAACAGTTCCGCGGGAGAAAGATGAGGCTTTCTGCTCCTGTAAAGATTTACAGCCTCAGAAACCCTGTACAGGGTCGCTGTGAGTCGGAACTGACTCCACGGCACATAACAACAACAACATTAGGTTTCCAAGGAGCAGCTGGTGAGCTTGCAGTTCAAACGGCTTTACAGTCTGGCACACCCTAAGGCACACCACAGGACTCCTATAGAAGATATTTTAATAAATCCTATTATCTTGTGAACAATTATATTGTTGCTTTTATGTTTTACGTTAGAAGTATTAATTGAATAAACATTTGAAAATATGCCTCAGTGGTTGTAATCCTGTTTTGTCATCTCTTCATTTTCACATATACCAGAAATCTCAAAATAAGCAACCTGGGTGTCTCTTGATCTGCAAGGCTCCTAGCAGCGCAAGGGGGCAGGGAGGACACATTGACTTGCAGTCACTGCCAAGCCCTGTAGTACAGGGATGAATGAGCTAATCAGTGCTGAGGAGGGCATGGGCTGGCCTGGGGGGTGAGAGAGAGGCTCCACAGAGGAGGTGACATCTGAGCTGGCTCACTAAGACTGTGTAGGAGTTTGCAAGGCAGCACAAGTGGGAGGGAAAGCATTCCAGACTTGGAGAACAGCATGTGCAAAGGCACGGAGGCGTGAACGGGTAAAGCATATTTCAGAAGGACCATGATTGAGTATGGCTTGAGGGAAGAACAAGGGGAGGTGGAGCAGCAGGGGGAGGAAGCAGAGCAAGGACAGTCTCTTTTGTCCCCTTGAATCAACAAAGCTGGTGATGAGATGCAGATGGTGGGAGGCCTGAGGCTGGGTCTGCAGAGAGGAGGTGGGAGTGGAGAGGACCAGCTCTTTCTGACCTCAGATATGCCAACTGGTTGTCTCCAAAGAGAATCAATACTTTAAGAAAAAAAACCACAAGTAAACAACTGCATTCTAAATGTGTTGGTTTACTTTAAGGACATCAAATAGGCGCATAGTCACTGAACCTGTTTGTTGTGCCCCAAAGTCGATTTGAACCACAAGGTAGGCGGTTCAAGCTCACCAGCCACTCCTCGGAAACCCTATACAGGGACGCTATGGATCGGAAACAACTCAATGGCACTTAAGAACAAATTCTGTACCACACTCAGCTGGGAGATAGAACAGGGCCCCTCACAATGACTGTGGGGCAGCTGTAAGGATTCAACGTGAGTGAGAATGGCTGCAAAGTGCATTGCCCTCCACCTTGAAACATGGTGACTGCCATTTATGGAAGGGGAGGTAATGCACATCTCAAATGCACTGTGAGGTGAAGCGTATTTCAAAGAGGTCAGAGCATGACAGGAGACCTGCATTCAAATTCAGGTTCTATCTCCGAGAAGCAATTTACTCTCTAAACCTTGATTCTCTCAGTCTGTAAAAAAGGTACTCAGAACCTAGTTCATAGGGTCAGAGGATTAGTTGATGTAC